ACACAGACGGCAACTGGAATTGCTGCCTTGGAGGATCCCTGTTGTTCCCCGACGCCTCCCAAACTGGCGCTGGAGACTTCGATGATCACACAACAGCCGTCACTTGCCCGCCGTCGTCTTCGGGATGGGGGTTAACGATGACCGTTTGCGAGGTGGCCGACGACCTCCCGTTACACAGCCCGAACGACAGATTCACGCCTTCGTCGCCATTGAGCCCCTGCTGGAGGAGTTCGGTGTAGGACTGCCAATAAGCGCCGTCGCGGCTTCCAGACAGCTCTGTAGCCGCTCACTCCTGGGTGGACCCGCTCCCAGCGGCACGGTCTGTGACCGTCTGTCATCCACCTCCTCATCGGACGTGTCCGACATAGGTTGCAAGTGCGGTGGTAGGTGTGCGTACCCAGACGGGCCAGACCGCTCAGACGACCTTGAACTCCTCGACGGGCTTTGCCCAGTCCGCTGGCCACCACCCTGCTCTCCTGTAGACCTGCAGATCGCCTGGCGCCCCTCCATCCTAACGTCCTTCTTCAAAGACCGTCTTCTGCGGGCGCGTCGTGGAACGCTGCCGAGGATGCACACGTGGAGGAGCAAGAGGACGACCAGCACCAGCAGCGGCAGCCTCCGAAAGACGTCAGCCATGAAAGGCATGTGGACGACGGCAGTAGCCAGAAGATAACGGTGGACGTTCGGGAAACGGCGAGGGACAATGGTGCAAACGGTCGATGGCAGCTATCGACAAAAGAAGGGCAATGTATTGCGTCTCAAAAGACACTGTGCAATCTGGAGAGCAGGGGCCGCCTGAAGTATTCGAATATGCCGACCGTTGGGCGCCTTCCCACTCGGGGCCAAGGGCAGCGACGCAAGACGACCCCTTTTTTACGTCGCACAGGCCGGCAGACCGCCAACAGGGACCGTTGGCGGACAATTCCATGATGGCATGATGATGCCGGTCATTGCTGACCGAAGATGTTCGTCGACAGGCCGCCAGGAACAGCAATGGACCAGCTGCGTCGAAAATTGTCGTCGAGAGAGTTGTCGTCGACGCCCCGATTCTTCAGGATGCTCGACCTCCAAGGACCTCGGGAGGTCCCTTGGGGAATACGTCGAAATGGTTGTAGCCCGAGGAATCCCCGAGGAATCCCCGAGGAAATGTTTTCACATTTTTTTTTCAATTTCTTCCCCGAGAATAAGTGAAACGATGAATTTCTCGAGGGATTTACGCGCCCGAGGATGACGAGGAGTGTCGAACGAGCCCCTATGACACTCCTCTGGCCGTCCTCGGGGCCCGAGGAAATTCTCCCATCATCGCCCGAGGAAATTTGCACCGTCATTCCACTCATCCTCGGAATTGTTCCCCGAGGACGATTCCTCGGGGGCTTCCTCGGCCAGTTTCATATATCGACAAGCGGACGAGGGGGGGGGCCGAGGTTGGTCCAACAAGGTGTGTCTGTGCCGATGTCGTTGGTCCAGCTCGGGTGGGTGTCGTGAATTCGAAAGTTGGCGGCGTTAAAAAAAGAAAATGGCCACAAAAAAAGCATGCAGTACCCCGACGACCATTGCGGGCACACGCCTTCGACTTCCGCCCCCTCCCTCCCATGTTGCTTTGCTTGAACGGTGAAACGTAGCCTGTGTCCTCCTCCCCACCTTCACCGTCGTTGTCGTTCCACTTGTGATCGTCAGCGTCTACAACTGGTGCGTCGCCGTCATTTTCCTGCTCCCCCCCACACAGTCGCTGAACTCCCCGAGTTATGGATTCTTCGCGCCCCGACCGCATCCCCTGTCGGTGTTCTGCCCACACCTCCCTCCTATCCCGGGCATCACCAAGATTGGCGAACCCACAATCTGTCTCCCCGCATTTGCCATGACGCCGATGATGACGGCGGGCTGCACTCGAACAGGTGAACAGGGGAGACAGAGATTGCATCCACTGGGGGCGAGCAAAGGCACCCCTCGACACAGACGGCGACCACAATTGCTGCCTCGAGGATATCTGTTGTTCCCCGACGCCTCCCAAACCGACGCTCGAGACTTCGATGATCAGACAACAACCGTCACTTGCCTACCGTCGTCGTCGGGATGGGGGGTAACGATGACCGTTAGCGAGGTGGCCGACAACCTCCCGCTACACAGCCCGAACCACAGATTCACGCCGCCATCGCCTTCGTCGCCGCTGAGCCCCTGCTGGAGAAGTTCGGTGTAGGGCTGTCGATAAGCGTCGTCGCGGCTTCCACACAGCTCTGTAGCCGCCCACTCCTGGGTGGACCCGCTATAGCGAGGGTGGATCTTAGAGGAGCGCACAGATTTCCATACCTAGACTAGATCCCCGATCTTATAGCGAGGTAGTGGACCAGCGGAGGCATGTCGGTTCTTGTAATCTTGGATCTGCCGCGGGTGCATTAGATCCACGGCCCTCTGTCGCCTGCGGGCTAACGCGGGGTAGGTCCTAGCCATCAACATCCATGTAATGCTGGGCCTTTTCCCGCTGTTGAGCCCGGGTCGCTCTAGGTTCTGTACCCACTAGGGGTGACAACTGCACTTGGGGGATACTATTGGTTCTCAGTTGAAATGGGGACACCCCTGTACTACCATGTGGGGTAGCCCGATAGACGACCAATATGTGGTCGACTATGGCAGGTCAGGGTCTGGTATCTCCTGCCGTGATGTTCTATGTAAGGGCGGTCTTAATCATTCAATTGGCATTTTTCATGAGCCCGTTGGCCTGTGGCTAGTGTCCTGGTGAGTACAAAATCTTAACGTCGGCCCTTACGAGATGTCGTTCTATCTCCCCTTGGAATTCCGACCCGTTATCCATGTGGACCTTTTCTACATCCAAATGCATGCACAAAAATCGATTAATATACCACGCTACTTCCTGCGAGTTCCGACTAGTCATAGGATAGGCCTCGATCCATTTAATAGAGAAATGATTGACGACCACTAGAAGGACATTGAGCTCGCCCTGATCGACGGGACCTTTCGGTATATTGATATTCATCGTATCGATGCTAACTCGTTGGAAGGGGCGTTCTACTCTAGTCGGTACCATCGTTCGTGGCATCCGTACCGGCGCCTTATCAGCCGCACAGGCCGGGCAGTTTTAGACGGTGTATCTGGCATCCTCCCGAATTCCTGACCAATACCATCACGTTTTTCTCTATAGCTTTTTCCGTGTATTTGACCGTGAAATGGACTGTATCCTCTTCGTGGGCAGCTCATGTCCAATCGAACCTCGCGAGAGGGTGTGGAACCGTCGGCCAACTAGACCCGCTATTATCATCGTCTTTCCATTTTTGCAAGACTGATTCCTGCCAACGATAATCATCGGCTCGCTTCGTGACTCACCGACGTGCTGCCTTGATAAGCTCCGTCAGCCGGTCTCCCTTGAGTCTTCTCAACAGGAGGAGATTCGTCCAGACCTCTGCTCTACGAACACTTGGCAAAAATCTGTTTTTTGTCAAGCCTCTACATATCGTTTTTTCTGTAGGTACCTGGTCCGTTCGATAGTTGGGACAGTTCCACTTCTTCTCGTTCCGATACCAAACGCAATATTTGTGGGATCAGATCCTCCGGCACTGACTGCATCGTACCCATGAGATAAAACTAGGTCCTCCGGGGTGTGAGTCCCCTCGGTCTGGTATCATAGGCAAGGTGCAGAAAAAGCAGGAACACAGGGATATGCTAGGGGGAGAGTGAGCGATAGACTGATAGGTCGAAGAGCTTGGGGAAGATGACGGGGTAGTCGCATCAAGAGGGGTCGACATCTCGCGCCCCAGTGCTTCCCTTGCGGATGGCGTGTACTTCTCCGTAGCGAGGCTCTGTTAGGGGCAAAGCTTCTATCCACAGAATGAGCCGTTCGTTCGTTGGACACTTCTTTGGTGGCTGGAGGCGCTGTCTCTTATACACATCTAGATGTGTATAAGAGACAGGTGAGCGATAGACTGATAGGTCGAAGAGCTTGGGGAAGATGACGGGGTAGTCGCATCAAGAGGGGTCGACATCTCGCGCCCCAGTGCTTCCCTTGCGGATGGCGTGTACTTCTCCGTAGCGAGGCTCTGTTAGGGGCAAAGCTTCTATCCACAGAATGAGCCGTTCGTTCGTTGGACACTTCTTTGGTGGCTGGAGGCGAGTCAGTCCGTCCGCGTTTTCGTGCAGCTTGGTCGGGCGGTGGCGGATGTCGAAATCGTAGTCTTGCAACCTTACTGCCCACCTTCCCAAGGTTCCCGTATAATCCGTATTGTTACGTAAGGACAACAACGACTGATGATCTGTCACGAGAACGAACTTCTGGCCGTGGAGATACACTCAAAAATGTTGGATTCACCACACCACCGCCAAACATTCACCCTTGCAAGCTTCGTAATTTGCTTGTGCCTGGCTTAGTGTCTTCGACGTGTATTCGATAATGTGCTCCTTTTCGTTTGTTCCCTGCTGAGTCAGCACCGTCGATATCGCCTGTGGCTGCCAATCGGTGTGCAGAGCGAACGCTTTCAGTGGATCTGGGTGCGCCAGGATCGGCGCAGTAGTCAGGGCCTTTTAAGCGCCCGAAAAGCCGCCTCGCACTCCGACGTCCAGATCAGCTGTTATTCTTTCTTCAGTAAGTTGGTCAGAGGCTTGGCGACACGAGCAAACCCTTGGATGAACCATCGATAATATGAGGCTAGGCCGAGGAAGGCTCGAACTTGAGTGAGCATGACAGGCACCGGTGCTTCTTGCACTGCTGTCACTTTCCTTGGATCCAGTTTCAAGCCATCCACCGTGACGATGTACCCCAAGAAGGAGATTTCCAAGAGGAAAAGCTCGCTTTTCTCCAAGGCTACTTTGAACCCCGCGTCTTTCAATGCATGCAAGACCCACTCGACATGTTCCACATGGTACTTGTATGTTTTGGAAAAAAACAAGATATCATCCATATACGCAATCACACAAAAATTTACTAGTGGTTGGGTCAGGCGGGTTTTGTTAACGAATTCAGCGAAAGCCATATTCATGGTTCGCTGGAACGTCGCGGGTGCGTTGCATATTCCCATAGGACATCTGACCCACTGCCACGTGCCCTCGAACAAGACAAAGGCCGTTTTGGGCCTGTCTTCCGGTTGTGGAGCATAGGCGACTAGAGCCGATGACATCCAGAAGGTCGTCGATACGAGGTAACAGATAAACGTCCTTGGTGGTTATTGTGTTTAATTTTCGGTACTCAATGCAAACATGGACCGTCCCATTTCGTTTCGCCACGAGGACCACCGGGAATGCCGAGGGACCCAAGGAGGGTTCCACCCACCCGAGACGCTTGAACTCCCGTACTCTTTCCAAGACTAGCTATCGTTCTTTTAATGAGTATCGGTACAGTCGACAATGTATTGGGGCATGGTGCCCGATATCAATCTCGTGCCTTATCAGATGCTTCAGTCCTATATGATGGTCTTGAATACTGACCGCCTCGGGGTAGTAAGCCTGTATCACCGAAAGAAGGAGGCATCGATATTCGTTGGGTACATGAGCAGGAATCTGAATATCGATGCTCCCCCTAGGAAGGGAGACCGTTGATGTGACAGTTTGGACCCGAGCGGTTTCCTCTAGGAAAGCTCGAAACAGGGAGTTGTCGGTTTTTACCGAGTGTACGGTGGCTATGAGTTGACTATCTGCCAGAGTGACCGGTTCATTTTCCGTTTCGGTTTCTCCATCGATTTCAGCTTCGACCGAGGGTTCCACTGAAAAGGACTGCAGGAGTTCCTTCGGGCCCCACACGTTTTCACTGTCTGGGGGGAGACGAGGATTTTTGGGGCCCTTTCGGGGAGGTGGCTTTCACAGGTGATGTGCGCGATGCCAGAGCCAGGGGCTCACATGCAAGCACGAGCCAGACAGAGGTGAGAATGGCGACTCCTGCTCTGACGAGGTGAGAGTTGTCCATGCCGCCACCTCCAACTCCGAGTCTTGCACCACCATCGCCTGTTTTGCCACATGAGTCGGCCACAACAGCGGCGGACACGGACGAGTTGGCATCCTCTTTGCCTCAGCACAGACTTTTGCAGAGATCTGGGGTGATCTGGCGACTGAGGTTACAATCACCTTCCCCGGGGATTTTGCAGGAGGAGGGGGTACCATCAGCAACACCTGTGGAGGGGGAGGTGGCAGCAACGAAGGGGGACGTAGTAGCAGCAGCAGCAGCAGCAGTGGAGGGGGAGGTGGCAACAGTGGAGGAGGAGATAGCAGCAGCGGCGGAGGAGGAGGCACCATCAGCAGCCGTAGTGGAGGGGAGGTGGCAGCAGCGGAGGAGGATATAGCCGCAGCGGCACAGGTGCCGGATGTTGCCATGAATCGTGATGGTGCGGACGACGCTGAGGGTGGTGAGGCCGTCGAGGAACACCTCGTGCAGCAGTTCATCACGGAGGAGCTCGATCCGGTCGTGGCGGGTATCACCTCGGGTGTGGCGAGGGGGTTGGGGATGTTGGATTCGGAGATGGGGACCCACTTCGACTTTGACATGTCGACGGGCCTTCCCCCTAGTTGTGGCGGGGCGGCATCGACGGATCGGGCGCCATCGAGGGGCGAGGCGGAAAGCGAGAAGGGGACGCAGACCCCGAGAGACAGAACGACGTCAGAGTCTCCAGATGCAACACGCGACATCATGGAGCGAGAGAGGGCTCGACTGATGGCATCCAACGACCCTCGTGCTCAGGCATTCGTACGGGCCTTGGAGGAGCGCAGGCGACGAGAGAGAGGGAGAGATGTTGGGCAAGGTGGGGCAGTGGTGGGGGAGGACGCTATGAAGGTCGTGGCAGCAAAGGCGGAGGAGGGTATGGAGGGTGGGCCATAACCAGTGGATGAGGCTATGGAGGGTGGAGAGGGGCGATACAGGGGGCCTGGAGACGCACTGGTGGCAGCTCATGAGACACAGACGGGTCAAGTCGTCCCGTTCTCGGGCCTGCACTTGGTCAAGGCCCGACGGTCGCAGCCAACTGAGGTGGCGGTGCATGGTGTGCCACCTGTTATCATCAAGAATTTGGGGTCCGAGACGATGGTTGTGCGTCCACGTCCTTGGCGACCGGCTCCACAGGAGGTCGATCATTCATTGGATGTCGAGGAGTTGGCAGCGGCCGCTATGCTCGATGTGACTCGACAAGACTGGCGGGTATTTAACCCGAAACTCAACCAGCCCCATTGGCAGAGGATTCCTTCGGTTCCATGGGACCCTGCATCGCCGGTGTGGTCCGGGTCTATCTCCAGCGGAGGGCTGAGCAGGGCAGATGTTCCAGGGGTTTCCGGGGGCCTGCAGAAGAGAGCGTCAGGTACAGGAGACATGCCACCCCCTCCTCCTAGACCACGTGAGGGTGATCCATCGTCGTCGCTCACAGTCCGAGGCGATCCATCCCCACACACGCCTGGGAGATCGCGGGTTCGTGACACGGCAGTGGTTGGGCGCGATGTGCTACGGGAGGACGGACATAGATTTGGATTCCACCCACCGTGTCACTGAGCGCACTACTCGCCTTCAGTCGGGGTTGGACATATAACGACACAGAACAAACAACGCGATAACACTCCTAGTCCCTTAGTAGCCATCCCATAACTCTCCGGTGCGGAAATCAGATAGACGTCCCGAGAGAGATTTTAGTATAAAACCGTGCGGACACAGGGCTAAATCATATCGACTAGCAATGCATGAATACGCAAGCAGTCGCGATGATGGCGTACTATGTAGTGCCCATAATCAAGCGGTACCTCGTGGATCCGAGTACCGCTAATGACACTCAAGTGTCAGACTCGAAGTATCGTGAAGGCTTACCCCTTCACGATATTGCACGACTGAAGGAATAGTCGTGCGGCCTCCGTGGCACCTCTGGCCTTTAGGCTGAGTGTCTCGGCAGGCAGTGCAAATAGACTCTGTGCGGGGGGAGATCTCTTCCATGCAGAGTCTAGGACCTGGGATGTCCTAGACAAGGACCTTGAATCTGGGTCCAGGACCAACGTCCGACTAAGAAATCTTTTAGAAACATTCAACCATAAAGCGTGGTTTTCTATCTTTTCTCAATCTCAACCCCTATTTAACCCTTAAGAGTGGGCCCTCTCGGGCCACGTGAACACCCAACATAGGTACATACGTATATACATGTAAAGGGGAATAAGTATGTGACGATCACTTCTCACAATCACAGTGGGACTCCTCACAGTCATATATATATGTGTGATCGCAGGCAGTCAAATCCAAAATCCGAACTACAGGACATACCTGCAATCACATCAAAGAGTCAACCAAAAGTCAACGCACTACACGGAGTCAACTTCAGCCAACCTCAATACTCATACCCCTCGCTTTAGCCATGCAAGCCCCAACCCTTGTCCAACCAACCATAATTAAATACTCAGTACCTTTGTTAAATGACCATTCCATAAAAGTCTGGGTGAAAACCTTAATAAAACAATAAAATCATTAGGGCTAAAACCTTTTAGGTTGAGTATTGAGGATGAATTGGAGTTGAGTCGTAGACCGACGAATCGACAACCGACCTGTTATCAGTGATAACAGAAGGTGATCCTTGTAGGATCAAATTGAATCTAGTCCTGATTTCGAATCAAACGTTCAAGAGGACCTGTAACACAAGACAGACCAATCCCAAGTTAAATCTATGACTCCAAATCGAGATTTATCTCCATATCTTAATTTCATCAAGAATCATTCTACTTAACTAATCATGAGTCTACCCCTAAGTCAGTGCCTAATGAAAAGGTAGACTTTTAGAAGAAATTTTTCTATACAGAGTGAATTGTCAGAATTGCCACTTGTCAAAATATAATCTAACTCCTCTAAACTAAGAAAATTTCGACAGCGCTTCCCGTGGGAAAAGTGCCTCGCAAAATTTATACTAACTCAAATATGAAAACAAAAACAATCTCTAATTCTGAAAATTCAAATTTTGTCTAACTCCCCGAATTAGTGAAAATTTGGGTAACACATCCTTTAGAAAGGACGCCTTTCCAAATTTTTACTAAGTTAGATATGAACTCATAAATAAAACCTGAGTTCAATTAAGACAAAATTTAACTAACCTTCTATATTTGTAAAAATTTTGGCAGCACTTCCCGTAGAGAAAGTGTTATTCCAAGATTTATACAGAGCTAAGTTCAGAATCTAAAATGACTTTGACTTCTCAAGGTCTAATGTTGTCTAACTCCTTGAATTAGCAAAAATTTGGGCAACACTCCCTTTAGAAAAGGAGGTCTCCCAGATTTGTACTAAGCCAAAAAGTCAGAAAAACTGAACCTTGAAAAAGACAAAATCTGACAAACTCCTTGGTTTTGTAGAAATTTCGGCATCGCTTCCCGTAGTGAAAGTGACTTATCAAGATTTATAAAAGACCAAGTACAAATAAAAGATCGCAGAAAATGCAGAAATTGATCTAAGTAAAAAAACTTAGCCCAGAAAATGCAGGAATTGAAAGTAACTCCTATGGCTCCAGCACGTGGCGAGCAACTAAAACAACTACCTATCAACCGAAACTCGGACTAAGTAGTAGTCGCACTCAGTCTCATGCAGGCCAAACCACAAAAGTAAGTACTCTCACCATCCCAAAGTCAACTTATCAAACAATAGTTCATGGTCTCTCAATGATTTATCCATTTATACCCAGCTTACAAAGTGCATAAAGCTAGACCACCCAAACTTATGGAATATGTCTAGCTCAACCATGGAGTATACACAAACAGAGGGCACAACAACTTTTCTCTTCTTTAAGCATATGACTAGGCCATCCTAGTCGCCCTTAACTTTTTAAATATCTCAACTTTATATAATTATCTGCACTTACTCTTTTGAGGTAGCATATAACTGAACCGATCATCTTTAGCTCAAGATTTAGTCTACCCCTTCGTACCATAAGTTTATTCTTAATTAGTACTCTCTTCAGTTGGTGATAAGCTATGGTCAGACCACCCAAACGTATGGAACCCTGTCTGACCTATGTTACCGCGCGTTCATTGAACGCGCGTTTGGCGTTCAGTTTTAGAACGCTGTGAACGGGCGTTCAATGAACGCCCCTGAACGCAGTTGACGCATTTGCGCAGGGGTCTGTCAGGGCTGGGGGGGTGCCTCTGAGGGCGCTGGA